GAGATAATTGAGAAGTTTATTTCTTACACTAAACCACTGTTAAATCTCATATATGGATTGAGTTGTCGAACAGTAGTAGTTCACTAAGTGATACAAGTTCCAATCCCACTGATTGTAACACACAGCTCCTTTGAGATTGCAGATATATATATATATATATATATATATATATATATATATATATATATATACCAACTATCACTAAACCTCAAATTTTTTCCAAGTTTCTAGTCAACTGTATTAAATTATGTAGTATATATGTTTATATATATAAAGCAGCACTTTTGATATTTATTTTTACTGATTTACTCTAACTTCATAGAAAACCATGCTTGATAGTATCCATATATACGTTTTAAAAAAAGCTCTCTGAGTACAACCAGTACAAACCTGCTCCGTCACAGGAACAAATAAACTGATAGGTATTAAATTCAGGGAGGTCTAAGACAGTAGTTCATTTCTAGTACATTCTTAGATCAGGTATCTACTGGGAAAGACCATTCTTAGTTCACCTGAATGAAATATCCTTCTTAATGATTTTGACAATGCAGTCTTCTTCAGCTCCATACGTACCAGTTTATTTGTTCCTTTTGGTGGAGGCATTTTATATTACTTACATAAGATATTCTCTCTCTAAACATTTTTTCGTAAAACTGAACACACATCAAGTTATTGTCCTAATGCTAAACCCATAATCAATTCTATTTCACTTATGATCATTATAGAAATATTCTATGAAAAATTCATTCTATTTTCTAAACTAAACTAACTTAACGTTTATCATTTGAAGCGAATAAATTCATCTTCTAATTTTATTAATTTTTCTAATCAGATATAGCAGGTTGCCTATTTTTTTTTTTATTATTATTATTTATTTCCGTTTAACCAAAAAGAAAAGAGAACCGAACTATCGGCAAAACTGCTGGTATTTCTTCTGTCTTGTCTGGATTATTGCGTGTGTGTTTGATTGTCTTTCTATGTATCCCTTTTTCATTGTCTGTCTAAAATATTCATCATAATTATTACTATTTCAAGAATGGAATGTTGAAGAAAAAGAGAAAAATTCTGCCTCCTTATAAACAGATACATGTAATATGCAGATAGATAGATGGTTATGTGAATTATTTAGTTTGCCAGTTTTTAGGCGATTGAAGAAAATGAAATAAAATGAAGCTTACTTAACATGTCGTTTTATGATTATTATCATTGACTCGATTATTTTCCTGTGGTAAATTCAAAGAAAAAAACTATGACGTTATTGATGAAGGAAACCAGTTACTTACTTACTTACGCCTGTTACCCCCAATGGAGCATAGGCCGCCCACCACTTTTCTGCAACCAACTCTGTCCTGGGCTTCCCTCTCCAGTTCTGTCCAATGTTTGTTCATTCCTCTCATATCTTTCTCTATTTCTCGGCGTAATGTATTCTTTGGCCTTCCTCTTTTCCTTTTGCCTTGAGGGTTCCATGTGAGGGCTTGTCTTGTGACGCAGTTAGGTACTTTTCGTAGTGTGTGTCCTATCCACTTCCACCGCTTCTTCCTGATTTCCTCATCCACTGCAATCTGGTTTGTTCTCTCCCACAGTTCGTTGTTGCTGATGGTGTCTGGCCAACGAATCCGAAGTATTTTGCGTAGACAGCTGTTAATAAACACTTGTATCTTCTGGATGATGGCTTTCGCAGTTCTCCAAGTGTCCGCTCCATACAGTAGAACTGTCACGACATTTGTATTGAAAATCCTGATTTTGGTTGAAATTTGTTTAGAGTTCCAGATATTTTTCAACTGTAGAAATGCAGCCCTAGCTTTGCCAATCCGTGCCCTCACATCTGCATCGGATCCACCTTTCTCGTCGATGATGCTGCCAAGATATGTAAAGGTGTTAACGTCCTCCAAGGCATCTCCATCAAGAGTGATTTGGTTGGTGCATGTTGTGTTGCATCGGAGAATTTTGATTTTTCCTTTATGTATGTTGAGACCTACTGCTGCAGAGGTTGCTGCTACACTGGTCGTCTTCTCTTGCATTTGTTGTTGAGTGTGCGATAGAAGAGCCAAGTCATCTGCGAAGTCCAGATCGTCCAGCTGCGTCCTAACTGTCCAGTTGATACCGTGCTTCCCTCCAGATGTTGACGTTTTCATAATCCAGTCGATGACCAGGAGAAAGAGAAAGGTTGAGAGTAAGCAACCTTGCCTGACACCATTCTTCACCTCGAAAGAGTCTGTTAGCTGTTCCCCGTGCACGATTTTGCAGTTGGATCCATCATAAGAATTCCGTATGATGTTGACTATTTTCTCAGGCACACCATAGTGTCGAAGAAGCCTCCACAGTGTTTTCCTATCCACGCTATCAAATGCCTTCTCGTAGTCAATGAAGTTGATGTAGAGTGGTGAGTTCCATTCAATTGATCGTTCCACAATGATCCGTAATGTAGCAATTTGGTCAGTACATGATCGATCCTTACGAAATCCGTCCTGTTGATCTCGAAGTTGGGCGTCTACGAAGTCCTACATTCTGTTTAACAATACCCTGTTGAAGACTTTGCCTGGTATTGAAAGAAGAGTGATGCCTCTGTAGTTCTCACACTTGCTCAGGTCGCCTTTCTTTGGTATTTTGATCAGGTATCCTTCTTTCCAATCTGATGGTACTTGTTCCTCATCCCAAATCTTCTTGAAGAGCATGTGAAATATTTTCGCAGTTGCTTCTACATCTACTTTCATTGCCTCTGCTGGAATGTTGTCTGGTCCTGCTGCTTTGCCGTTCTTGATTTGTCTGATGGCCATACTGATCTCCTCAATCATAGGTGCGCCAATATTAATTGTGAGGTCCTTGGATGCTGCTTCGATGTTGGGTGGGTTCAGTGAAGCTGGTCGATTCAATAGTTCCTTAAAGTGCTCTACCCACCTATTTCGCTGTTCGTCAGTGTTGCTGATTACTTTGCCTTCCTTACTTTTCACTGGTCGTTCTGGTTTACGATAGTTTCCGGCGAGCTTCTTTGTTGTTTCGTACAATTGTCTAATGTTTCCTTCTCTTGCAGCCTTTTTGGCCGTCATTGTTAGATCTTCCACATATTTTCGTTTGTCAGCTCTGATGCTCTTCTTCACTTCCCTGTTTGCTTCTGTGTATGCAGCTTGTGCGGTAACTTTCTCTGCTCTTGTTCGGCTGACATTGATTGCTGCCTTCTTGTTCCTCCTTTCTTTAATTTTTGCGAGAGTATCAACAGAGATCGATTCCTTGTGATGGTACTTCTTGTGACCCAGAACTTCGTGACATGTTGAAGTGATTGCCTCCGTAATCCCTTTCCAATTGTTCTCCAATGTTGTGTCCTCTCCATTGAGTAGATCCTGAAAGGCCTGGAACCTATTGGTGAGGGCTATCCTGAATTCGTTGAGCTTTACGGTATCCCGAAGAAATGCCGTATTAAACTTGTGTGATGTTGTCTGTCCCGTTGTCCAGTGCTTCTTTAGTTTCAGTTTCATTTTGGCGATTAGCAAATGGTGATCTGATGCTATATCAGCTCCTCTCTTGATTCTCACATCCTTCATAGTCCTTCTGAACGTTTTGTTGATAAAGATATGATCAATCTGGTTTTGAGTAGTGTGGTCCGGTGAAATCCATGTGGCTTTGTGTATGCGTTTGTGCGGGAATATTGTGCCACCGATGACCAGTTTGTTGAAGGCACATAGGTTTGCAAATCTCTCACCATTTTCGTTTCTTTCTCCCAGTCCATGTCGTCCCATGATGTCTTCATATCCAGTGTTGTCCATTCGAACCTTGGCATTCAGGTCTTCCATAAGAATCGTCAAATCCTTTGGTGAACATTTCTCGACGATTGACTGCAGCCTTTCGTAGAATTGATCTTTAACGTCGTCATTGTAGTCATTGGTAGGTGCATAACATTGGATGACGTTCATTGTAATGTCCTGTTTCTTTGTTTTGAAGGATGCTTTAATGATCCTCGGTCCATGAGATTCCCATCCTATCAGTGCCTTTTGTGTATGTTTGGACAGCATCAGTGCAACTCCTTGTGTATGTGAAGCATTTTCTTCTTCATGACCAGAGTATAACAGCAGTTCCCCTGAAGCTTGGGTAAAAGATCGAATGATGTTTGTGTATTTCAAATTGAAAGTGCTTTAAGTTGGAACAATAATATTTTCTGAATAATTGGTGATCTTTTTTGGTCGATTGTGCTGTGAGAGGATCACACAAGTTTACTGACGTTGATTGGTGTGTGTTGCTTAGTGTTTGATTTTTTTTTTGAAGATAGTTACATTTATCATATTAGTCAAAGGGCATTTTCCAATTCCTTACTTTCACATCAGCAACTTTATCGCATTCAGTGTGTTATTATACCTTGATTCAACAGTGAAACCAGTAGTTTTTTTGGGGGGATTTCATGTTATATATATTAACTGGAGGAAATTTATCCCCGTTTAGAATATTTGAAATTGATTATAGTCGTTAAGTAGTAACCATTGTCATATTTGCATAGTCTTTTTAGCGTTGTTTGAATTCTATCAATCAAGTTGTGACATGAACACTTGTCTAAGTGACTTAACCTCGCGTGCATTATGTTGAATAGTTAAGAGATAGTCAGTCTACTGAATATCATGAACTTAGGTTTAGCACTATTTTATTTTTTTCAGCAACACTGTTGAATCATTTGCACTAATGGCTTAATTTCAACTATTCAAAACTACGAAACATACAATCGTTCCCTTTAAATATATTCTATATAAATTTAATATAAAGGGTTCTGTTGTTTTTCTACAAGCATTTTTTCCACCTGTATCGTGTTGATCAACGTATTCACAAGAAATAATCTTCAGTAGAAATAAATTCTGTTGAATCAAATGTATTTGCCCATTTTTCGGTTAAATTATTCCAGCTAGTAAGTTGTAGATTCAAACTCCATTTCATTGTAAGATTGTCTGAAAATCAAATACATATATACATTGAAATTCCATTTTTAATTAATGAATGATCTATTTTTGTTTTTGTTGTAGAACAAGAAGCAAAGTTGAATGAACCTTCATCATTACGTACTGTTCTTACAGAACCTGATTTTACTAAAACAACACCAATATCACCTATGCATAATAGTGTTACATTAAATGGTTGTGATACAAAAAATTATCATAATACTGACAATCAAAAATATCCTTCAACCTCTCATCATCATCATCATCATCATCATTGTAATGAGACAACTTCAGAAACAATCAATTCATCATTACATGATACCGCGACTAATTCACAATATCGAAAGAATAAAACCGATAATGAAGTTAAAACATTGATAACATCAACCATATCTAACAAATGTAATTTCCATAAAGATTCCATTGTTTATTCTTCTCCATCAAACGATAATAATAATAATATTACTAGCTCTCCTGGAAGTGAAAGTTTTCTTGATAGTTTTGACGGTTGTGGTAGTGGTGGTAGCCGAATTGGTGATGGTGATTGTGGTGATTCATCCACTTCTTATTTATCACCTGCTTCATCTTCCGCCAAAGATTCAAGAACAGAAGAAGATGTGGAAGAAGAAAAACACTTGGACAATAATAATAATTCCAACAATTTAAACAATAAATCAATGTTAAAAGTTAACAATTCTAACCATCATCAATTGTTGTCTAGTCCTAAAATATTAACAACTCATTCAGCACAAAATAAATTCAATTCAAATTCATTACCAATCAGTAATCAATCAATAAATGTGACAACCAACAATAAAAATCATAATAATAATCACAACAATAACAATACGTGTAATCATAAAATGGAAACTTGTAATGTCTGTGATAAAACTAGCAATCATTTCAATAAAACTTGTAATATAAATTGTCAAACTAATTCTACTATATCAATTAATGAATCACCTGTTTATGATAATTGCATACCAAATATTAATAATACAACAACACCATTAGGAGGTGATCATTCAATAAAAATATTAACTACTACAAACAATTGTAAACACTCACAAAATCAATTATTAATGTTGAACAATAATAATAATAATAATCATCATAATAATTTCATACAAACAAATAATAATCATAATCATCATTCACCACATGTGATATCATCGAAAAATGCTCATAGTCCAATTTTCACAACTAATGGTAATCATAAACCTTGGAATTCTGTCGATGGTTATAGTACATCACGAATTGTAGTTGGTACTACAATACAAGAAGAAGAAATTGAAAGTGAAGAATCCAACTCATTGACTACATTTCAATCATGTTGTACTGAACAGCAAAATTCCAAAAATTCAACTTCCACAAAATCTTCCCTATCTTCTAATCAACAGAAACTTATCAATTCACATAATCCTATGAAAGATCCAATGAATTTACCAATTCAATTAGGTCCACATCTTGCAGCTGCTGTTGTACAAGCATCTGATGAAACGGGTACAACAACTGCTGATTTGGTTGCTGGTTTAGCTGAAGTTCGTCGACGACCAGTTGATGCTAGAAATAGACTTCGTCGACTTGGTTTAATGCAAACACCAGATAATGGAGATGTTTATGAAGAATTATCATTTAATAATAAAATTGGCAGTTCAAATCGTTTATCTTTACCGGCAAGTATTAATCTCCCACCGCATTTATGGCATAGAGCTACACAATTTTTAGAAGAACCTATGTCAAGACGTGAACGTCGATGTTCATTAGTAAGTATGTTTAATAAATTCTTAAACCCCCTAATTGTAATAGTTAGTTGTTAGTTTTAAGAAACAGTATTTTTCTAAACAAGAATGTTAGATCAAACGAAACTAGTGACTTATCACTGATGTGAATATAATTCAGTCTATCAGTAAAATAAAACTCAGCATTTAATGTGTATATACAATGATTTGTTAATTAATCAAGTGTAGCAGTTTCTTCTCTAATCAAACAACCAACCAATTTTTACCAATAAATTTTACATTATCCTCATTGAAACACTTTTAAATGAATATAATCAAAATGAAATTACATTGAAATCAAATTAATTCTATATAAATCATAGATAAAGTATAGAAAGAAAAAAGAGATATTTATTAGTTGTTTTTTTTTTTAATTGCTTCACCGTTACCGTAAAGTAGTTGAAGGTTTGATTAAGCTACTATCGTTATTTAGGTTTTCTAATCTGACCTAGTTCATCAACAGCATAGATGGGTTCATTTCCGTATATATATATATATATATATATATATATTCATTCTGTGCCAACTTTCAATAGATAATAAATAAACCAACTCCTTAAAATGTTAGATACCAATTGAATGCATAGTTATTTATTTATATCGTCATTCAATTATTTATATTATTATTATTTGTTTATTTACCTAAAATTTATTTTTTAAAAAAAAAATTTAAATTAGAACTGTAATTATATTAGTTTGTTGACCATGATATTATATTTTCAGTTAATTCAATAATCAATTATAAGCAAGCATTCCTAACATCTGTCATAAATGTACTGTTGTAAATATTAACTCTCTAAGTCACTTTAATTTACTAGTAAAAAAAAATTCAGTAAAAGAATTATGTTTTTACTTTAAATAGGATTTTCATTTAGTTTGTTTCTTATATATTCATTAAGTATGAACTATGATCATCTGATTTTCAATTCTTTTTTTTTTCTTTTGATTGTTCTAATTAATTCTATGTGATTTTTCAGTTTGATCATTTTCACAGATAATAATAATCATTAAATTTAATCGATATGTAACTGGATAAACTTGAATTGAGTTTAAATTATTCTCCGGTGTTTACTTGATAAATCTTCATTGGGTAATTTATGTTCTTAGGTCATCAAATCTACGAAAGAAGGAGGCTATTGCATCTTAGTTCGAATTATCGCTAGAGTTATCACTGTTACCACAGACCATACTGTGTACGATGGTTCAAATTGCCTTATTGAGCTGATGAGAGAACTTCAAGATGAATGGTCGACACACTAGACTAATTCACTCTGAATACTAAGATTAATTACTGATACAAAGAAGTTTTAAAGCTAAATTCTACACATTAAAACGAAGAAACATATCTAAAATATTCAGTCAGTCAACAGCAACATAGAACTTGCGTAAGTACATCAGTTCATGTTGCCATACCACATTAGCACGCAGATCGAATTGTCAGTTCAAATCCCATAGCAGTAGAGGTAGTAGAGAAATCAGTGGTAATGAAGAAAATTAGGGTTTGAAGATATTATTCAAGAAGTATAATCCAATGAAATAAATTTAATAATAGAGAAAACACTGATGAGGAATTCAAAAGATTAGAATTTGACGGAAGACAAAGATGCATCTGAGCCATTGCAAATAATTTTCAGCCATGTCATTCAAAGTCTTTAACCATCGGTTAATATTGTCTCACGGACCGCAACCAGGTAGTCTATTCCTATCAACATGACTCAGCCCAGTTGTCAGTGACTTCATGGATTTGTGCCATGATTTTTTTTTGGCTGCCCCTAGCTTTCTTCCAGCCTACCCTTACATCACAAAATATCGCTCGTCATGGCAGTCGGCGGTCGGGCACACGTAACACATGTCCCAATCACCTCAACTGATGAACATTTACTACTTCATCAATCGATTTCCCATCCTAACCTAGTACCTGTTTCCTAACAATAGCTTTGCTTACTCAGTGGTCCCAGGATATTCGAGCAATGCTTCGAAGACACCTTTCATCGATTACTACTACCCCAATAATATCCTCTACTCTTACCGGCCATGTTTTAGAGCCACAAATTAGGACGCAACGAACTGTTGCGCAGTAAACTCTTACTTTGGTCAGCAAACGGATATGTCACATGCGCCACAGGTGACGCATGTTGGCAAAAGCCAATCGAGCCGTCTGTATCCGTGCTGAGACAGGGGAGATATCGCTGCTGTTTTCACAGCTTATTGGTTATCATTCCGAGCTGCCTCGTGTTGGGAATCACTTACATAGCTGTCTAACTCTTGGCTATTTAATCACTAAGAAGAACTCTAGGGGGTTTACTTGCTGTATCTTTCCTACGTGCTCGTACCCGAGCATGATCCGAGTCTAAACATGTTCTCCAGAATGAGCGGTATTCTTCGATCGAGCTTCTCTGTCTGGTGACTGATAACAATGTGCTCTAGTTGGGTTGAGTCGAATTTCGGGGTCGCTAAGTCAAAAGATGTTTAATGTTATGTTTAAAGTTGGTATTAGCCAGAAATAGACGGTTATATGAGCATAAGTGTGACAAACTATCTCCATCATCTATCCGATCAGTCGCGACACCATAGCATGATCCTCCCAGGCGTCTTTTGGTCTCGCTTAACCTACCTACTTAAGCATTAAAATTACCAGCGACTATTACTACATCAGAGCGCTTAACATTTTGAGGAAGTTTGGAAGGCTTTCTTTAAAATTCATCCTTTACCTCATCTGATCAGCAGTAAGTGAGAGCGTATGCAGCGACAACGAATAAGCCATGGGGAATGTCCTTATCTTTCCGAGTCTTTAGTGTCCGGTCTAGTCTGACAGCGCACAAGCGACTGTCTACTGGAATCTACTCTGGGAGAGCTGGTTGTGTTATAAAACTTAACCCTTAGCCACGGGAGTATGGGTTCCAGATATATGAAGCGTGAATCGCGACGGTTATTTATGTTAACAAGGTGAGGTCAAATGAATGATTCTACCCATAAATTGTGATAAGACGGCTTCAAAAATATATTCATCACACAAATAAGGAAATTGTTACGGAGGACAGAGAAATACAATCTAAAAATAAGTGAGTAGATCATTAAACAAGAATATGTTATGTCTTGTGACCTCTAACGCATATCACGTTATAAGCCACTAGTCAAAATCCTGATTCTGATTTGATCTATTCTGCGTTCAGAATTCATTTTCTGTGGCCTAATGTCGCTGATTTAACGAATCACACGTCCATCCTGTCTTATTGACTTTGAGTCAACAGTCGAGTTCCTATTGGTTCACGATTTTCTAGCTTCTCTCTGCCCTGGCCTTGAGTCCAGAACTAGCCTCTATTTTACTGTCTCAAATACACCTAGTTTATTTATAGTAGACCATATTGCATGTAAGACTTTAAAAAGTACGTTAGCCAAAAAGTGTCTCTGAATTGTGGGGAACTACTCATAACAAATTGACAACAAACTGGGAATGGTAAGCCATAAAACTGTGGTTAGTGCGTCAAACAAGTGTTTGATAAATGGAATCTGGTTTATTAATCTGATGTATTAATAATACATACAATGGTAATCCGTAAACTAGTTCCGGAAATTACCATCCCTTCAATCTTCGTTCCGATATGACAGAATAGTTTATAGTAGGCGATACAGTTCAGAAAAAAAATATAATCCAGGATGACTTATTTCAGTTAGATGGGTTCCTCTCGTTTTTTGAAGCTATAGCTCCTATTCTGAACCGATCCCAATATCTGGAGCTACTGGACAAACAAGCATCATCAACATAATCGGGCACAAATGTACGTTGGCACAAGTTGCTATACCTGATTATAACAATGAGATAACATTACTGAAAGAGATCAAAGTAATGTAGTGGCAACTAAACTGTGAGAATAGAATTTAAAATGTATGTATTAAGCCCACTGGATTATAACATTTCTGGTACACCCTAACCGTGGATTCATGATGGACCTAGAAATAGTAGTCATATATTGCTGTCTCTTATATCATTACTGGATATCATGATCTGAGCATCTCTCCACTTCCTCCAAGTAGTCACAGCATAGGCAAGTAATCCATTAGGGGAAAGTTTTAAGGATGATATTCATAGCACTTGTCCAAACTGTTGAATTTGATGCTCCAAGATGGTGACACTTTTACTGAACATTCCCAAAGCTCATCTTTACTTTACTTCAGCAGTCCTTTGGTGATAAACATAGTCAAACATATAGTCGCTGAACATTCTTGACTTAGAAGGGTCAGGTTTTGCAGCCATATAAGAGAACCTTTGTAAACCCGAACTAGCATCTCAACAGTGCTTAAAGTTATTCAGGTTACCATAAGCTACTCTGGCTTTCATTATACGTAGATTTATATCATAAATCATCCTATTACCATCACGCACACAGCAAACTGGATGCACGATTGATTGACGAACTTCTCGGCTGCTTCTGATAGATCACGACAAGTAGTTAGTTCAGGCACAAGATCCTGATGTTCTAGCGGAGCTACTTTACACTTGGAAAGTGCAAAGTACATACCACATTTAATACACTGATCGCCAGCTGATTAAGTGCAATTCCCATAGCATGTGTATTATCACATAATGTTATTCGCATGTTCAAAACCAAAAAAATCTCCAGAAAACAGGTCCACACCGCCATGTAGCTCTGCCAAAAATGTTTCCAAATTGCCATCGAAGGGAGAATCGAAGAAGAGTAATGAAAGAAAGTAACACTACCTAACGCCTATCACTGGGCTTTAATAATAGAAAGAGTTGATGATTGTATGTTTTCACTTCACCTGTGGTCTTTGTATACAAAGCCTTCAAGATGTTAATAAACTTCTTAGCCACAACCTTCAAAAGACAAACATATTCAATGAATAGGAAATGTTACTGATATCAAAACAGTGATTGTTGGCCTGCGAATATTCTTCCCTGTATGCTCATCGGTACATAATTTATTTATCGAGGCACATTTCTCAATACGTTAGAGAACATTTTCTCAAATCATGCAATTTCTGAGATAAAATAAACAAAACTAACGAGTTGAACCATGCCATAACCTCTAGATAGACATTCAACAGATTGGAAAC